CTGGGAGAAGTCATTGAGAGCAGCCCTGCGGAGAAGGACTTGAGGGTTCTGGTGAATTCATCATTTCATCCTGAAGATGAAAAGCTGGACACAAGCCAGCAGTGCATGCTTGCAGCCTGGAAGGCTAGCAGTCTCTTGGGCTGCATCAACAGAGGGGTGGCCAGTGGGGAGAGAGAGATGATTGTCTCTCTCTACTCTGTCCTTCTGAGACCCCATCTGGAGAACTGAATCCATGTCTGGGAAAGCTGTGGAGTAGGTCCAGAGGAGGGCCATGAGGATGATAAGAGGGCTGGAACACCTCTCCTATGAAGAAAATTTGAGGGAGTTGAGCTTGTTTATTCTGGAGAAGAGAAGGCTCCAGGGAGATCTCAGAGTGTTGAGGCCCCGGCACAGGCTGCTTAGAGGAGTTGTGCATGCCTCATCTCTGAAGACGTTCAAGGCCAGACTGAGTGGAGCCCTGGGCAGCCTGGTCTAGTGGGAGGACAACCACTAGCCTGCCAATGGCAGGGGGTTGGAATTAGGTGATCTTTAAGGTTCTTTCCAACTCAAGCAATGCTATGATTATTGTCTGTAATGCAAATGTAGAGCAGACTTCTGAATCAGGAACAGGGTGATACTTTTAACGTTAGCACTTTTCCCCCTTAAGTGTTACTGGCCAACACCAACACACTAACATGATAGTTTTCAGCCAGCAATGTAAGGCATCTGCACTAGGTGACTAAGAAAAACAAGCCTGATGTGAGCTTAAACATATGGTCTGGAGGGATTTGCACCTTCACTGGATTATTCTTTAGTAACGGGAAAACTGGAAAGGTCACAGAAATGTCAGATAAAGTGCTGACATGAGCAGAAGGGAGTGAATTAAATATCTAAGTAGGGAGGATTTGCCTGCCAAGCCTGGTCAAGCTTTTGCAGTGCTTAATGTAGGTTCTCCATTCCAGATGTGCTGAACAGCCACAGCAAAGGCCTCTGACTGCAGCCTGCGTCATTTCATTATTTCAGTTCTCCTCTGGAAGCTTTGGAGCTTAAATGTGCTATTTTCTCTTCTGTAGTTATTCCATGTATAGCAGAGAGAAATCCACAAAGTTTTGGGTTGTTTGTTTGTTTGTTTGTTTTTGCCCTGGTATCCTTGTTTAATTGTCTCTCATTCCAAATGTTTCTAAGCTGGATTCTGTGTGATATTTGGAGACATCTTCCAGCTAGCACTATACCATCTGACATGAGAATCCCAAGAGCTCTCAGCCTTTGTCGTTGCATGCTGCACATCAAATATCCATATCGATTAACAAAGGATTGCCAAGTCATGATGAAAGGATGCTAATAATACTGATAAAATCTACACAGATTATGGAGCTGTGGATATGTTTGTCAGAAAGCCTGTGAAGCCTTGTTTAGAGCTATAGCTTATTTTCTTCCCCAATACTAATAAGATAAAATATCAACAGCTGCCTCCACAAATCAAAACTATCTCTGCACTGTTTGATCTGAATTTTGATTTTTCTAAAGAACCTGTACCTTACTGGGAAAAGGTGGAAATGGGGATGTCTTGCATCTTCCAAGCTGTAGGAACTGTTATAGCTCCTACTCACCTATACAATAGAAATCAAGGATGCAAGCCACTTCTGCCTGTCGCCTCTGTCTAAGCTGGAAGGGCAGAAGCACAAACAGCATCGATTATTGTTCAAATACTGCTTATAGTAAAAAGTGACTTGATGTCCTCTCTATTTACAAGGCGGACAAAGGACAAAGGATGAGCAAACAAGCAACGGAAATAAGACCATGGAAAATGTCAAAATCATGAGATGTATCAGTGGATATACCAGGGGCTAAACAAACACTTGCCAGTTATCCTTACCAACCCTGTCCTCTCACCATGGTATCTGCCATTTAACTTAGGGGCGCTGCCAGAACTGCACCAAGTACTGCCACTGCCTGCTATATCACCTCCTGTTGCTCTCCATCAGTCTGTGGCATCCTCTTCCCTTTCCCGCTGGCACTGCAGTGTCACTTGGCACAGTGCCTTCTGGGATTCCTCCACACCAGTGGGGTGCCTCCCTGTGTTCAGCCTGGCAAAAGAGCCTAATGATTACAAAATTAATCATAGAATCATAGGGAAACATTTGAGTTGGAAGGAATTTTTAAAGGTCATCTGTTCCAATTCCCCTGCAGTGAGCAGGGACACCCACGGCTCCATCAGATGCTCAGAGCCCTGAAGCCAGACCTGGAGTGTCTGCAGAAACGGGCATCCATCGCCTCACTGGGCAGCCTGTTCCACCACCACTCACCCACCAAGTATTAATGTAAGTGCAGAACTGCTTCCCACCTGAAGGCTGATCAGGCAGTACTCTCAGCAGGTACAGTGACAGATGCAAAGGGCTCTTTGGATTCTGTCTGGGATACCTGACATGTCTGTGATGATGCCTCCAGTACATCGAGTGTAGAAGGAACAGGGCAGCTCTGGGAGACCCAAAGCATCGTGTGGGCGCGAAGCACTGGTGGTAACGGACAGAGCCCGGCGACCTGAGTGGGCTTTCGTTCCGTTTTGGGCCCCTCAGTTTAAGAAGGCCGTCGGGGCCCTGGAGCAGAGCACGGCGTCCAGAGCAGGTGTGAAGCCGCGGAGGGGCCGGAGCACAAGTCTTGTGGGGGGCGGCTGAGGGATCTGAGACCGTTCAGTCTGGACAAGAGGAAGCCAGCTGCAACGCAAAATCCCAAGTATTTCAAACGCGCCGCCCGGCCCGCGACACCGGGCGCCGGCAGCACGGCACCGAACCTCCCGCCCCTCAGCTGCGGTGGGCGGGTCCGGCCGCCCGCTTCCGGCGAGCGGGGAGGGGGAGCCCCGGTCACGTGACGGAGAAAGGGCCGGGCTCCGTCGCCCTGCTCACGTGGTGCTGGGGTAGGCGGAAGGGACGGCGGATGGGCGCGCGCTGGTGGTGTGTGAAGAGCGAGGCGCG